TTGAGCCTTTGCATTGCACACGAGTGATAAATACATACTCTAAACCTCAAAAACATCAACTCATATTTATCAGACTGCCTGCATATCAAAACCCAAGGAGATGCCTACCTAGACACAAAGACAGCATTCTGGGGCATCATAAAAATGCACAAAAAATAAGCCCCTATGCTGCCCAAAAATGCTGTCTAGGTAGACATCTCGAAAGGTTTTCAGACACGGCCAGTGACTGAGTCCCCTAATAGGTGACCATGGGCATCCTCGCGTCAAATTAAGCGTGCGTTCAACACAAAAAGCGACAGAATTCCATCGCAAACAGTTTAAAACACATCAGCTCGTGTCTAGGACTCGATGCTTGTTATAAAAACACAGAGAGTCACAGTCAGCAGACGAGAGATCAGCGGCCTCCGACACGACCGCTTCGATTCGAGGCCAGATTTACTCAAAATCACACGTCAATCTAACACAATCCCGACCTGTTTCAAACGAACAAACTTCAAATTGACATTCACGCCGGTTTTACCTTCCTTACGCCTCCGCGGAGCGCAGATATCGAGCGGAGAAACTGAGCCCGGGGTCGGAGATCCAGTCGAGAACTGAGAGCAAGATGGCGCTCCGTCCAAACTTCCAGTGCTGTTGCTGTTACTTTGGACACTCATGAAGACACTTTCCCCGCGAAGAGACGCTCGAGCGCATCGCACGCATGATCTCTGTCAAATCACACCTGTGTGTGTCTAATGCATCATGCACAAACCCTGATGACCAATGCAACGCTGCTCATGTTTTCAGCTCCGCACTGCGCACAGAGATCAGTCAGCACTCTCAGTGTGTGTGTGTGTGTGTGTGTGTGTGGCCGATGCCTGACGCCAGTTGCAAGGGTTACACACATGTACCCGCTCACACACATCAGTGCAAAACTTCAGATCACACCTCAGATGCTTCAATCCTTCTAGCAAATTCTATTATGGATAAAATTACTCTTTGCCTCTATAAAGTATAGGTATAAACGATCAGTCAGCTGAACATTATTGCAAAATAAACAGGTTTGACATTAAGTGGTCATGATGAGCAGCTTTTAACTTTTATATAAGACCATAATAGCCTAAAGTATATTTAAAAATATATATTTTGTCAAAAAAATTATTTTGCAATAATTATCAACTGCCTGCATTACTGAATTGGTATTAAATGTCTACTTATTAAATCAATAGCTATGATCATATTGATGTATATGATGAGTTGAAATTAAATTATTTTCTGAGACCACAGAGAGATACTTAGAGACAGTCAGGGACTGCCCAGTCATACTCAGAAATATTTGATGATATTAATGTTCTATAGACCTATAGCTATAATATAAGTTAAATAATATAAGATAACAATTAGGCATACACAAATTACAAATAATTACACATAAATTAATATAACAATGATTGATTTCACAGGCAATCAACTCAATTATAATATAATATAATATCGTAATCATTAATAAAAAAATATGTAGCTATATAGTAATAATACTATGTAAATAATAATAATAATAATAATGTGTATTTACAAACATCTTCACAAAAATAAGTGCATTATTAAGTACATTAATGTCATATATATTCATTAGAACTAAAATAATAATAATTGATATATCAATAATTAATGTCCTAGGCAGCTGACTAAAATAATATAATGTAATATAATTAATAAATATGATATAATAATAGTGTATTTACAATAATATATTACAAGTGTATTTACAGGCTTCTTCACAAATGATGTACACATTTTTATTCAAGTTTATGCATATTCATTAGAACATTAGAACTATATAGTAACAGCACTGAAATGTAAAGTGAGATTGTTTATTGGATGAAACTTCGCTCCAGACACATATTTCACAACATCACACTACAGTTATCTTCCTCTGAACTCACCACAGAGGAATTCAACTCATTATTTCACTGGAATAAGAACACTCGTATATTCTGCTGAAATGAAGACAGTTTTAAAATGGAAATATATGTTCTGCCTTTTCATGTCAACAGATGACAGCTGTATCGGTTCACAGGGTTGATGAGTTTATGAATAGATGCTGCTGAATCACACCAGCCTCTGAGGAACTGCTTTTTGCCATCTGACCGGAAATGTGTCTGGTTCCTCCTTCACAATCCGAAGGTGTTCGTGGAATATTCTCAGTCGCTCAGTCTACAATTTCCAGAGACATAATTTCTCCTCTACAGTCATAAAGTTATAAAAGGAAAATACATAAACTCTAGAGCTATAGGCATATTTGCAATAGTAGAAAGAATTTCACTGACACTTCTATCCTGTGTCTTGCTCAAGGATAAATGCTGATAGGTCATCATGACTTGCTCTTTGTAGGACTAGAACTTTGCATTTGTGGGTTCTGAGCTTTAGTCACTTATGACACACCAAACCCAAGTCCAGTGGACAAAAGTCTCCTCCTCGGATGCCCATAAACCTCACCCACTACATAGACTGATGTAAATTGCTTTTTTTTTTTTTTTTGTGGTGCCATCTTTAAATCTTTTGTTTAAAGCTCTTATCAAACTTTGTGAGCCCTGATTCTGTAAGATCATAATAATATGTTTGTCCTCTGATTAGAACTGTCACATGATCATGTGCAGGTAACGTGAACATTCACATCAGTTCAGAGGAGATAAGTGATTTTCTCTTTATGATTCTCGAGGAAAGAAAGAAGCATCCAGTTGATCCCTGACATGTCTTATCTTACAGTCCAGAGAAAGCAAACAGAGGATTAGCCTTTTCATTAGTTCATTTTTCACAGCCTTAGTTTACATGTCAGGACTAGATGGTCTATAAAGTGAAAGAACAACATTTTAACAAATTTGCTTAAAGGAAGCGTTTACCCAAAATGAAAATTTGCTGGAATGCACCCTCAGGCCATCCAAGATGTAGATCAGTTTCTTCATCAGAGCACACTCTTAAAAATAAAGGTGCTTCACGATGCCATAAAAGAACCTTTTTGTCTAAATGGTTCCATAAAGAACCTTTAACATCTGAAGAACCTTTCTGTTCTTTGTTGCGAAAGAAGGTTCTTCAGATTATAAAAAGGTAAGAAAGAGATGGTTCTTTAACTGAGTGGTTCTTTGTGGAACCAAAAATGGTTCTTCTATGGCATCGCAGTGAAGGACCTTTTAAGCACCTTTATATTTAGCATTACATCAATTGCTCACCAATTGCTCCTTTGCAGCGAATGCCTTTTAGCTGAATTTCTTGTCTGAATATTGATGAACTTCAAACTGTTATTGATCTGAACTGAACCAACACTGAACTGACTTGAGCCGAATAATGACACTACTGAGCTGCTTTACAGCAGAATCTGAATTGTCTCCATAGTTGAGTTTCCATATTGATTCTGTTCCTGTTTATGACTGTGAAGCTGCTTTGCTTTTTTCTGTATAAAGCACTAAATAAACATGGCTTCACTTGACTTGTATGGGTGCCATCAGAATGAGAGTTCAAACAGTTGATAAAAACTTCTCGTTGCTTTTGGCTAAAATATAAGTCTATAATATTGCTTTCTCCAGTGAAAAAGTAATCTGAATCAGGAGAGAAATATGCACAGATCAAGCACCAAGTGAAACCAGTCCAAAAGAGCAAATATGTGGGTGGATTCTGATGTGAGAGCCAACAGGAGATGGAGTTTTTCACTGGAGGAAGCGTTATTGTGGATCATGGAATCATATTTTGGCCATAAGTGAAGGTATAAAGATAAAACATCTTAATGATGGATTTGTTTCTTACACCACGCAGCTTTTCACTTCACAAGATATTAACTGATGGATTGGAGTGGTGTGGATTATTGTGATGTTTTTATCAGCTGTTTTGACTCTCATTCTGACGGCACCCATTCACTGCAGAGGATCCACTGGTGAGCAAGTGATGTAATGCTACATTTCTCCAAATCTGTTCCCATGAAGAAACAAACTCATCAACATCTTGGATGGCCTGAGGGTGAGAAAATGTTCACCTAATTTTTGGATACACTATTTCTGTAATAAAATAATGTTTAATGAATTTTTTGCATGTGCAGTTTTTTTTGGGGGTTTCAAGATATATCTCTGCTTTTTCTGCCTTTCAATATCAGACCATAGTTAAACTAATGTGGTTGTGGTTGCAGGTGACTTTTATGCCTGTTGCAGATATATTTCCTCAGATGCTGAGGGAGTGTGATTGATGTGGGGTGATAAAATATAGGGAAACATCTGCAGATATATAGAAACATGCATGTTCATGCACCTGCTAACCCATAACCTGATTTTTAGTCACAGACATGTTGCCATGGAAACTACAACGGCCTTTTACAGCCATTGTCATATGGCAAAAGACAAAGGAGATGTGGGTTACAGGGCTTTGCTCATCTCTTCCACACACACACACACACACACACACACACACAGAGAGAAATGACTTCACCGTGAAACAAGTCCCTGAATCACACACACAAGCACCAGCATAGAATACAAAAAGATTAGAAAAGCTAGTGTTAGTTTAAAAAAAAAACAAGCAGTTAATAAATTAACATTATTACATATATTAAATATTATTAATATTATTAAAACTTCTTAATGTTTTTATCCTTTATTTTTTTAGTAATTATTAACTTATTATTTTATATTCTTTTTCATTTCCATTTCTCCCTACTATCCCTGGCCCTTACTCTTAGAACGATTGAGTTGATGAAGCAAAAATAGTATTCAAAATGTTTAATAATTTTGTACATTTTTGTAGGGTTTCCGTTCATTTTGTATCTAAATGTTATTATTTAGATTATTTAGTATCTAAATGTAACTTTTTATTAAGTATCTGCATCAGGAAATTGTGTCGGTTTTGTGTTGTGTTCGAAAGGCAGTGAAGTTCATCACTAATCAATTAAGTGAAAGCGCGCTATCTAGCGGTCACTTTATGAAACGCCTCATCCGCTGTGTTTGAGAAAAGCACTTCACGGCACCCGTAGCCGCATCCCAGATTCGGCGCTGCCGCTGCTGCTGCTGGCACAACAAGAGAAAGAGGATAATAAGTTATTAGTCAGCTGGCAGAAGAATAATCCTCCCCATAACGACTCCGAGCAGCCAACATTTTATTTCAAGTAAGAATACTGTTTTTCTTTAGTAATCAATAGGGTTTCCGGTGTTCGAGTGCATTATTGTGTTGTTTTTAATGGCGATGTTTCTGTATTGACTCACGAGAGGCCGTCTGACGTGTGCGCTTTAACTGTCATTTCTGTTATAACGTAGACAGTAATACTGAAATTAATTTAAAATAAAGCACAAAATGAATTTCTCATGCGCTGTATTTTTTAAAAACATCCATTTAAATTGTTTGGAGACAAATTAAACAAATTAACAGCTGATGCAACTAGATAGATGACGTATTTAATGCGCTACAGACCAACAGTCCCGAGCGCGCAGTTTAAACAATCTAATTAAATGTCATTAATGACCCCATGACTAATTATGGTTACAAACTGATGGTTTTATGTCAGTTTGCGAGCTTTCACCGGCTATGCAGCCATATTGACTGACCATCCGGGACTCTTACAGGAGTGTCCCGTGTGTGTGTGTGTGCGTGCGTGCGTGCGTGCGTGCGTGTGTGTGTGTGCGTTCGTGTGTGCGTTCGTGTGTGTGTGTGTGTGTGTGTGTGTGTGTGTGCGTGTGTGTGTCATTGAACAAACTCTTCTCAGGCTACATGGTCATGGAGCTGTCTTTAAGTAAACATCATAAAAAAAATATTTTATATTATGTACTACGTTTATTATCATGAAGATTTCTTTTAAATAACTTTTGATTTCTTAATTTTTTTTCAAGTGTACTAAAAACAAGGATGTGTGCCATTCAGAATTGAACTTAAAAACCTCATGCAATTCCAGTTCAGTTCCTGTTTTTGATTTGAAGTAGCACAGATGTGCACAGAACACAATTATAATTAAAATTTGAATTTATGATACTAGAATTAAAATGCAATTGGGTTTATAGAAATGAATATAGCTATTGTAAGTAATAATGTTTCATGTTTCAGAATGAATTACCTATAAACATGTTATTTTACACATACGAGTATTTCTGGAAACATTAGACAAAATCAATAACATTTTAAATAGATTCTAATGTATTCTACATGTGAGAGAATAAATTAAAATTGATCAAAATTATGTTAGGAAAGCTGAAAATTCATGGACATCTGAGAAATTGACATCTGATTAATTAATGAATTTTTTTTATTGAATTTGTTTTTAAACCTTTATTAAACCTCTTCAAATAAGGAACAGGCATTATCATTGTTCAACACAGACTCAATAAATCCAAGCAGCATACATTGAAAGAGACAAATAAATGATATTGATTGTATGAATCAAAATCAAAATCCTGTGGTTTGTGTCATGAAGCAGAAGGAGCCAGTTCTTAAATTCGGACTTTTTCCCAACCCTGAAACACTAAAGCAGAGTTTAAGCTGCTGAAGCAGTGTTGTGGTGTTTGTAATGATTGAGCTCATGGGTGTGGTGTGGACCAGAATGACCTCAGCGCCATCAGATGTGTGTGATATTCTCTGAATGACCACTAGAGACTGCTCATGTAATATGAAACAACAGATGAAACATTCGGATAATCAGGGTTATTATATGTCACCAAAATTAGAACCATTAAAAAAAGAACTAATAAAAATGACAAAAAACACACAAAATTACTAAAATGAAATTGATAACAAAATATAAAAATAAAAGCTAATTCAAAAAATCAACAAATCTATAGATACTAAAATATCACTGGTTATAATTATTTCTAATTTTAATAATTATAGTTGTAACATTGAATCATAACTCTAAATCAAAAACACAGCAGCAAGTAAATACATTTCTTATAATGTGTTGTTTTAAAGTGTTACCTGTTCATTTTTGTAATTGCATTGTGTCTCAATTAATACCACTAAATATGCTGTGCAGTCTTTAGGATTTACCGACAAACAATAAAGGCATCCAAAAGATTTTTTTTTGCAAATATATCCACAAGACTTGATTTGATTTAAATCTGTCTGCAGAATGTCTGACAAAAGTGAGCTGAAAGCAGAGTTAGAGAGAAAGAAACAACGACTGGCTCAGATCAGAGAGGAGAAGAAGAGGAAAGAGGAAGATCGCAAGAAGAAAGAGGTGAGCTGGGGTCTAAACTGCAGTGGTTTGATGTCTTTGTGTTGGTTATACTGAAAATCTGTGAGGAAGAGGTTTCATATTTAATTCTTTGAAATAATTGTGATCATCGAGATAAGTCAAGAGGATAGTGGTCTGGACTTCATAGAGCTCAAGTGTTGCTCTATTAAGTGGAATATTGATGCAGGAACTGTGAGTGCACAATGCTTCACACATTATGGATGTATTGATTTATGATTGTAGAATAATGCCTTTTTAATGAAGTGCTTTCATTAGAGCAGTTGGAACATATTTTGTTGCCTTTCACATTTAAACAATCATTTGCAAATTAACACAATCTGCCTACAAACCTTATGGTCCTCGGCCTCACACTGAAGGCAGCTGTTCCATCCATGCACATTTTCCCCAGAACATATGTCAGTCATGTTCTCACATACGCAGATGCGTGCCTGCAAAACAACCTCTCTCTCTCTCTCTCTCTCTCTCTCTCTCTCCTGCTGCTGTAGCTGGATGGACGGACGGAGGGAGCGTCTCCTCCGCAGGATGACTCTGATCTGGAGAGGAAGAGGAGGGAGGCAGAGGCTCTGCTGCAGAGCATGGGGATAGTGGACGCCTCCATGGGTACGAAACAACAAAGCAGCATGGGAGATTAGGCTTTTGTCACTAATAAGTGTTAGCAACAAGCATGCTTTTTTTCTTACTGACAAAAAGGGGTCATATCGGAAGAATTCTCTTTTTCTTTAGAAAAAGCTTTAAAGGAACACTCCACTATTTTTGAAAATAGGCTCATTTTCCAACTCCCCTAGAGTTAAATAGTTGAGTTTTACCGTTTTCGAATCCATTCAGCCGATCTCCGGGTCTGGCTGGTAGCACTTTTAGCTTAGCTTAGCATAGATCATTGAATCTGATTAGACCGTTAGCATCTCGCTCAAAAATGACCAAAGAGTTTCTATATTTTTCCTATTTAAAACTTGACTCTTCTGTAGTTACGTTGTGTACTAAGACCAACGGAAAATGAAAAGTTGAGATTTTCTAGGCCGATATGGCTAAGTACTATACTCTCATTCCGGTGTAATAATCAAGGAACTTTGCTGCCATACCATGGGTGCAGCAGGCGCAATGATATTACGCAGCGCCTGAAAATAGGCTTATTGGAAGTTACCTAGCTGGGACTATTTTCAGGCGCTGCGTAATATCATTGCGCCTGCTGCACCCATTGTACGGCAGCAAAGTTCCATGACCTGTTCCTTAACTTCTTCAACATTTTTCTGTTCATCAGACAGATTAACATATTAACACACATGTTACATGTTTACACGTTTAAAGGACAGTTCACCCCAAAAATTACAATTCTGACATCATTTACTCACCATCCACTTGTTTCATACCTGTATGAGTTTCTTTTTTCTGCTGAACTCTGCTGAACTTTAACTGTTTATTGGTTAATAAACAGTTGACGGTAGCCACTGACTTTCATTGTATTTTTTCCCATAATATGGAAGTCAATGGCTACCGTCAAGTGTTTGGTTACCAACATTCAGTAAATGATGACGCTATTTTTATTTTTGGGTGAACTATCCCTTTAATCATGCCTGAAAAACAACAACAACAACAAAAAACCTAAATCAGTCGTAATGAGATCAATAAGGAGAAAACTGGATACCTGTTATAATTTCTTAAACACATATATGATATGATCTGTTTTAAGCTGGTTCAGCTGGTTGGTTAGCTGCTCACCTAACCTGACCAGCTGACAGAAACCCAAAACCTTCAAATAAAGCTAATTTGTTTAGTACTGTTATCCATTTCTTCATTATTTCTTCTTTCTTCATGAAATAATTTGGTTTGGTTTGGAATGAGCACTGATGTCTTTTTAACGCATGTGGATCCTGCATGAATATTAACCACTGTCCTTTTTGTCTTCTCTTTTTTTTTTGGCTCAATCCTTTGGTTTTGCTGCTTCATCATGATTATTACACCACCCTGTTCTCGCTTGATGCTGCTTACCTACTTTTTATATTTATCTGTTTTATTTTCATGTTTTTTTGCTCTTTTTTTTTTTTTTCAAACACCCCCTTGGCTTTGCTTGCGCACGTGGATGTGTGTGTGTATGTAGTGCAACCTCTGCATGTGGTAACAGAGGATACGTGTCTGTTTCACTATTTAGTCCCCCCTCCCATGTCCCCCTCTGCCAAATCAGTGGGCACACCCAGCGAAACGGGCAGCCAGGACTCAGGAGACGGTGGCACGGGGCCGAGGTGAGACGCACATGTGTGCACTGACATCAGAGATCTCATATCACAGTACGAGTACTTTTATATCAGCCTAACTGTATATACAGTACCATTCAAAAAATTTAGGGTCAGTAAGATTTAAAAAAAAAAAGACTACTTTTCTTCAACAAAGATGCATTAAACTGATCAAAAGTGTTTTTTAAAGACATTCCATTCAAATAAACACTGTTCTTTTGAACTTCCTATTTATCAAAGAATCCTGAAAATGCATCATACCACAGAAATATGACACTGCACACCTGTTTTCAACTAATAATAATCAGAAATGTTTCTTGAGCTGCAAATCAGCATATGTGACCCTAGACCACAAAACCAGTCATAAGTAGGCTTTCAGATGATGTATAAATCTCAATTTTGAAAAATTGACACTTAAGACTTTTCAGAGGTTTTGTGGTCCAGGGTCACATATTAGAATGATTTCTGAAAGATCATGTGACACTGATGAGTAATGATGCTGAAAATTCAGCTTTGCATCACAGAAATAAATTACATTTGACAATATATTCACATACAAAACAGTTCTTTTAAATTATAGTAATTTTTCACAATATTACAATTCCTACTGTATTCTTGATCAAACAAATGCAAGTTTGGTGATTAGAAGAGACTTCTTTCAAAAACATTCAAGCAAAAGTTCATTTTGCTTGAAATTTAATTAAAATATGGTTTATACTTTAAAATACCATGTGATAATGCCTGTTTTTGGATAATTAAGTGAATTAAATCATTTACAAATGAAAGATTCTGCATCCTGTTTTTTCTTCATTATTCATGACATAAATGATAAAAACAGCTTCACGATGTAAAACATAGATCATTATTTTAACATGTTGCCTGGCAAGCAAGCATAAGCAACTAAACTTTGCTTCACGCTCTGTATTTCCCATTCCTTCATGTTTCGCTGTAAAAATGATTTAATCAATTGTGCTTTAACATCTTTTTTCTCCATTCTTATAATTTGTCCCATTTTCTGTCATTTTTATTAAATGTTTTGAGTTTTTTATCTGTAATTTCTTGTCACTACAGGTTGGCACTGTTCTCACCATGTTGATTTTACTAAAAAATTAGAGACAACAATTAAACGGACGTTTTCAGTTTTAGTGAGTTTAATTTGAAAAAAACATCAAAATATCAATGACACATACAGTACATTTAGAAAGTATTCACATACATTTTCCACAGTTTGAATGACTAAAAAAATATTTTAAGGCCTATCATAATGTTATGATTTAAGGTCTTCTTAATGCTTTCTAATGTGCTGTATCACCTGCACACATTTCATCCATCACACATTATAAAAATGTTAAGCGCACTATTAAATTGCAAATGTGAGTTTCTCTGTTTCGTATTGTGTAGTATGTGAAGCTCATCTGAAGCATGTGTGTGCATGCACATGTATATTAGTGTATAACAGCGACTCTTATAACTGCTCTGCATGCGTGTCTGCCTCTTTGTGTGTGTGTGTGTCTCTAACAGGACTCTTCATTGGGACTCTGACCCCTCTACTCTACTGCTCCATTCAGACTCTCAGCTCGGGTACTGCTTTAACCATCACTCCTGCTGCGCTTCTCCTGCATTCTCTCCTTCATTTATCCTTCTGTCTCACATTTGTCCCCTCAATCTTGCTGTCTTTTTTTTTCTTGGATAGTCGTGATGAACCAAACCAAAGTGCATCGTGTGAATACGATGTGAATTATATTTCCCTTCGACACCCCTAGCATAGCTAGCTAAATGCTCTCTAACCATATTAAAGATAAGTTTTTCAAACATGTTTCCATCGCACTCCCCCCACTTGTCATTAAACAGAGAGTCCAGGTAGAGTGACCCATGATTTGTCAGTGTACTGTACAATCTTATTTCCTGTGGGAAAGAATTGAGACATCCTACTGTTGCTATATTTACCTTTTCTGACCAACATGAAATGTTCCTTATGTAACCTATAGACCTGGTTTCACAGACAGGGCTTAGACTAAGCCAGGATTAGGTCATAGTTCAATTAGGATATTTAAGTAATTTTTAGAAAGAAAAAAAAAACATTACTGATGTTGTCCTGTTTTCTGTCATTCCCATCAGTACCCAGAGCTGCTGGTGGCGTCCTACAGCAGTAATGAAGACGCTCCACATGAGCCCGACGGTGTGGCTCTCGTCTGGAACATGAAATATAAGAAAACCACACCGGAATATGTCTTCCATTGCCAGGTGATGATCTTTATGCATATCTCTTTGAAGGATATGCATTAAATAATGTAAATTATATTTTTGTCTTGGTATTATTCTGATCTCGTCCTAAAGATCACAACTTATTTACGTCATATTTATGTTACGAAAATTACTTTTTATTTTCTTAATAGAAATAAGTTGAAACGTAATAATAATAAATACATTAAAATAATAAAATAATAATAAATAAATAAAGATCACAAGTGGTTTGAAGAATGGATAGATGACTAATTAAAATAAATGCATAAACAAACAAACTTATTAATTAAAGGTATTAACATAAATAAATAAATAAAGATCACAAGTGGTTTGGAAAATGGATGGATGACTCATTAAAATTAATTAAAATAAATGCATGAATAAACAAAAAAATAAACTTATTAATTAAAGGTAGTAAAATAAAAAAATAAATAAAGATCACAAGTGGTTTGGAAAATGGATGGATGACTCATTAAAGTTAGTTAAAATAAATGCATGAATAAACAAGTATATTAAAGCAACTAACAAACATATTAAAGTTATTAAAATCAATCAATCAATTAAATAAGATAAGTGGTTTAAGAATGGATGGATGACTAATTAAAATTAATTCAAATAAATGCATGAAGTTCATACCAAACTAAATGTTTTAATAGTTTTAATGTTAGTCATTTAGTCAGTTTATTTTATAAAATACAATAATTCTCATATATTTTTATTTGATGTAATAATACATCCATTTCCTCTGGGTGACGTCAATAACTTTGTGGTGGGCAGTGAGGACGGGTCCGTCTACACCGCCTGCAGACACGGCAGGTGAGTGTGTGAGTGTCGAGCTGTTTGTGTCCGTTTCACATCTGCACAAGTGATTTATATTGGTGCATTGTGTGTGTGTGTGTGTGTGTGTTTGTTGTAGTAAAGCGGGCATCAGTGAGATGTTTGAGGGTCATCATGGACCAATCACAGGCCTCGACTGCCACACAGCGGCAGGACCGGTCGACTTCTCTCACCTGTTTGTCACTTCCTCTTTTGACTGGACCGTCAAACTCTGGAGTACCAAGGTGCCAAACACACTACAAATATTATTTAAATACTATTATAGTATTAATATTAATACTATTAATATTTTTATTTTTATATTTTCAATTTAGTTGTTTGTTTATTTTGTTTTTATTTCAGTTTTAGTAATTTTAGTACTTAAACCTGTTTTATTTCAGATTCTAATTTTCTTTTTTTTATGTTTTTTTTTTTTTAAAGTTTTAAATCTAATGTTTGTATTTTATGTCATCTCTGCTTTATTTCACAAAAAATGAACAAAAGATATTTTCAATGGTTTAGTTTTAGTTAACAATAACAACACTGGTCTGTTTGAGTCTCAGATTTAGTTAAAAACAGATTTTATTTCGCTATATTTTACTTTATGAAGTTATTGAATATTTATATTTTTACTGAAATAAAATTTTTAATAAGTTTAATCATTTGAATAAGTTTAAGAAGTTTTAGTAAGTTTAGTACTTGAACTTGTTTTATTTGTTTCTAATTTTAAATTAATTTATTTTAAGATTTTCATCAAATATTTATATTTTATTTAAAAAATTGTTTTTCTTTATTTCAATTACTGAAAATATTTTCTTAGTTTTATTCAACTATTTCTTCGTTTTTTTCTTAGTTTTATTCAATTTTTTCTTAGTTTTATTTATAACAACACTGGTCTGTTTGTATCTCTCCTGACAGAACAATAAGCTTTATTTTTATTTCAATATTTTTATTTTATTGCAATTTTGGAACCTTAAACTTTAAAACCTTAACTTTAACTTAAGTTTTTTTTTTTTTAGTTTATGTAATATCTGCTTCATTTCAATGAATGAAAGCAATATTTATTAGGTTTAGTCAACAATTAACAACGCTGGTCTGTCTGTGTCTCTCCTGACAGAACAATAAGCCCTTGTACTCTTTCGAGGATAATTCAGACTACGTGTATGACGTCATGTGGTCTCCCACACACCCCGCTCTGTTTGCCTGCGTGGACGGGGTCGGACATTTGGACCTGTGGAACCTCAACAACGAAACTGAGGTACTAAAATCTCCTAGAAGTATAATCTGAACAAATCCACAAATCTTGAATGACTGATAATCTGCTGCTTCAGGTTCCCACAGCGAGCGTGACGGTGGAGGGAAGCCCTGCGCTGAACCGCGTGCGCTGGGCTCATTCGGGACGAGAGGTGGCCGTCGGTGACTCTGAGGGCCAGGTGCACATTTATGACATCGGAGAGGTGAGGATGCAATTAAATAGTTAAATGAACTTCTGCAGCTGTGGTCTGTCATTAAAACACGTCTTGTTTTCTCTACAGCAAATCTCAGTGCCGCGGCAGGACGAATGGACGCGCTTTGTGCTCACGCTCACAGAGATCAACGAGAACCGCGAGGACGTGGAGGAACTGGCCGCTCAGCGATTGGCTGCATGATCACCATAGCAACCCCTGCTGACCAATGACGTTTCGCCTGCATTTGCATATCTCCACCCTCTCTTTTTTAATTCTAGAGACAAATGGATTATTTCAGAAAGCAAGACTTTGCTATTAATAATTGAAGCACTTAGTGTTGCGAAACATTTTGGAGTAGTAATCGTAGTGGGATTGGATGGTGAAAGTAGAATATATCAGGCGGGAATTCTAATGTTTTTATCTATTTGTAGGATTAGAGGCTGATTTGGAGGAAAGGGAGGATTGTTTGCCGTACAGCAACACTTACACTTCCAATATGCAAACTATTGTACAGCAACTTCAGACACTGACATAACCTACTACAGTAACAAGAGAAATGTTCTTTTGAAGAGGTGGAATAATTTTAACATTCCCTCCCGGATAAACGGTCGCATTATTGGATTATTTATAACTTTTTAACAAATGCATTTTGTTTTTAGCTCATAAAGACTGAACACTTGTAATAACCAAATCAGCACACTTTTCTGCGGTTAGTGTTGATGATCGCATTATTTTTCATATGCATACATATGAGATAGCTCATTTCTGCGTCTTCTTGGTCTGTGTTTTTGATCGCACTTTGTAGCCTCATTCAAGATATGTATAATAGCGCCCCCTAGCGTACAACAGTGGAAACCCGGAAAATTCTGTGTTTGGTGGGAAAAGAGTTAAAATATTGTGGCTTTAAATGGTTCAGAACAACTAAAATGAAAATGTACTTGATAAAAAAAAAAACTTAATCAGTCCATAAAGTCAAACCTGCCTTAATCTAGACAAACATTCTGAACCAAAGCTTGTCGGTTTCTTTTAAATATTGTTTTTCTGAAATGAAGGAAGTTTCTGAACATCTGAATGGATTCATCAGGGTCCCACAGTCATGAAAACACAGATCAGATCAGGGAATTTTAAAATCTATATATACCCATACACAGTTAAATGGTTAATTTATTCATAATGAATATAAAACAACATTCATAACTACACATGACAATGACAATATTAAGAATTCCTAAAAGTATTTTTAAATATTTTAGGCATTTTAGATGCACATTTATTCATATTTGGTTAAAATTCCCTAATTTGGATGGTAATATGATTGGACTTTCAAAAGCACAATGAGCAAAGTCAAAAAAAAAAAAATCAACAAGCCTAACCCTATGCAATATATTTCTTCAGCTAGAAGCTGTGCTTTGAGCATGCATTTTAAATTTTTTTTGGTCAGATGTGTGGGATCCCTGATTTACATGACCAGAACAAGCGTGTTGATCTTGCGTGTGTTTGATCCTCCAACGGCTTCACTAGTTCACTTTATAACTGACCTCTTTTGTAACTTGCAGTAATAAACTCAATAAAACCTTCACAAACTAGAAATAAAATGTAACCGCATTGATTTATTTCCATAAAATACAAGAATGAAATGCATTTAAATTATTTTCTACATTTCGAGTCAACCATGATTTCTCTGATCAAGTTTTGAAACCTCTGTACATCAGTCAGTGTGACGGAGAGAGAGAGAAACACGTCTCTGTGCATGAGATGTACATGTATATACAGTACATGTGCAAGCTACACAAAGCCTATTGAGCAAATGAAGAGCGCTACAGCATGCTTCAGTCACATCAACATCATAATCATGAGAAGAAAACTCAAAAGTAGCGAATGTGCATCTTGGGGAGCAGAGGAACACAAAACTGACAGTACATGTCATGGTTTCTGTTTCAGGAGTGTTTCATGAAAAGCTCTTTAGCTTTCGTTTCGGTGGCTGATGAACTTCTCTAGAGCCCTTGTTAGATTTTTCACTGCGCGTGTCGCTTTAGGTCTCGATCAGTGTGGCAAACGTCTACCCTGTGCTTCAGAAAACACACTATGAGCTTTAACCAGTGTTCTTCGTCAAAACTGAGGCACTGATATGGGTTAAAGCAACAAGACTACAACGAACGAGTATAATTTCCCATGTCCCCCACCTAAAAACTCAAACGAAATGAAAGAAAAAAAAATGTAGGCAAATGTACTGCGGGCGGGAGGGAGGCATGCAGCCATTGGAGGACAAGGCCGTGGTGGGCGGGGCGTGACTTTCTTTGCAACTTTACAGATCTTCTTTATGCACCAAGAGCTTGTAACACTCCAAAGAGAAAGGAAAAATTGAAATCGCATCATATGACCCCTTTAACATTTCATGCAGTAAAAAGTGTGCTCAACATGATCAATACTTACTGTCCTCCAAAGTCAACATAGAACCATCGCTGCAGGAGCTCGTAGGTCACCAGGGTCACACCGAACTGAGGAGACGAACGGAACACACGAGCTACAAAGAACACAGAGAGAGAGGACTGGGAGTGAGTATGGATGTGACTGAAATGATATCTGTGTGTGTGTGTGTGTGTGTGTGTACCTCCAGCTCCCTTCCACAGAGCTCGGAATCCTTCCTCCTTTAAGATCTTCCTGAAGCAGTCGATCACTCCAGAGTAAGTCGTCTGACCGGCACGAGCAGCCACCTGCAGTCGTGTTTTGATGACATCAGCAGGGGTGACAAGCGAAGCAGCCGGGACACCTGTAAAATAAAATCATCCAGACATCTATTAATACATGATAGAAAAGATAGTCTTATCATGCATAATTCATTCATATGTTACTTTGAGGGAAATTATGATTTTCAGATGGGTTTTAAGAGGACTAAATAATGAAATAGTCATCTTTTTCTCAGAAGATAAAGTTCAGACATTTTGATTAAAATTTACAATGGCAAAAATTAGATGCATACAGATAATAATAAGATCTGTAATTTGCTTTTAAATACATGTGGGGTGCATTTTCATTTCATGAAAGTAAAAAAACATTCTGGTACTCCAGTCATTTTATACCAAAAATCATGCATTTTGAATTTTGTTGCTTGTTAACAATCACACAGCACAGAGTTTTGAACGGGATAAACTCTAAAACAAGTGCAAAATATACACCCACTCGCACACAAGTCCTTAACTGAAACCGCACTGTGTCAGCATCACAAAGTACAAGCGTGAGGCACGCTCTGACCTGCGATGGCACCAGCAGTCAGCAGCTGCAGAGGCCCCAGCCTTCCATCCTCATCTGCCAGACCTGCCTTCGTATGGGCATAAACGGGGAAATAGATGGCAGAGAAGGGGATATCACGCAGGAAACAAGCCTTCGCACCCTGTGGAGGAAAACCAGTAACATTTGTGTGTTATTGTTTACCGTATTTGAAATGCAATTCAAGAATAAAGAGCAGATACAATGGCAATTGTTGTTCGATACACCGTTTTAAAAATCGGCGATTTCCCCACCTTGTAGAGGCCAAAAAAGCCAAGATCTCGGACTACGTTGAGTGCGCTCACTCTGGGGCCTGTAGTGATCTCACCGGCCACCTGCAGACGAATCTTAACAATTTCCAGAGGATTGGTGAAGATAACCTGTGACCCACCGGCCTGGAAAGACAGAAAATTTTGCCATTTAAGTACAACATAATCCAGTTCGAACTGTGTACAATTCAAAAGTTTAGGGTCAGAAACATTTTTATTTTTTTTAATATTCTGATTATTCTCTTATACTCACACATCCACCAGCGAGAATCTCAGCAGCCAGAGCTATCGTATCATCTTTTGTGGTAAATTTGTCTCTCACAAAGTCATTCACCTGGAAGACAGACACAGAGGGGGACTCGTGTAATTGGCTTTACTGTCATCTGCTCAGAAACAGCTTTCAACAGGATGTCCAGATGTTTAATGACACATACAGTGAGCTTGATGGCTTTTTCTGGAGCCACTCCGATGAGCTGGGGTACAAGACCTGTAGGGGGAAAACACACAGACACACAAAGAAAGTAGGAAAAAAGAAAGTGAGATCAAGGTTAAGAAACATGAAGACAAACATAGCATAAGACGAATCCAACCTCTATAAAAGCCGAAGACGCCCTCGTATCGCAGGACTTTCTTGGCGCAGTCAAAGCTGTTCTTGTACATGAGCTCTCCTACGAAGGAGCCGGTGGAGCGCTGGTTCTGCATTCGGGTCTTGACCAGGTCTATGGGGTACACAGCTGTGGCACCCGTGGCTATAAACACACACACAGGACAAATTACATTTCACTCAAGTGCAATTACACATACACATATCCATTGAAAACAGCATATCTTGTGCACTTAAAGAGGCTATGGAAAACAAGATTGTTCTTTTGAAATAAAAACATATGCACTACCACTCGAAAATTTGGTAGTGATATTTTGAAACACCATTACAACTTAAAATATCTGTTTTCTATTTTAAGATATTTTCAAATCTAAATGATTTCTGCGATTAAAGCTGAATTTTCAGCATCATTACTCCATTCATCAGTGTCACATGATTCTTCAGAAATCATTCTAATATGCTGATTTGCTGCTCAAGAAACATTTCTGATTATTATCAATGTTGAAAACAGTTGTGCAGCTTAATATTTTTGTGCAAACTGTCATACCTTTAAGTTCAAAAGAACAGTTTTGATTTGAAATGGAAATCTGTTGTGACATTATAAATGTCTTTACTGTCACTTTTGACTGACCTCTTTTAAAGAATGAAATTGGACTTAAGTGTTTTTCAGTCAGTTTCTCTTAGCATTGAAGTCACTCATAAAAGATGACAATTAATTTGAAATGCAATGTATATTTAAAAATGACAGTTTAACACTTCTAGGAAAACAGACCAAAAATACCAACAACTCATCTTGTACACTGGCATATGGAAATTTTTGCCAATAAAATGCTTTATAAAAAGACAATGTCCCTCCTTCCTAATACCATCTGCATGTAGCATGTCCCCTTGACACATCCTGCTATTAACTTCCTTTGCCATAATGAAATGCGTACCACAGAATGGAAAACTGTACGCATTTTGTGGGGTCTTTAATATAAGAAATGAGCAGAACTCATAAGCTCGAACCTCCAGCGATGGAGCCCAGAGTAAATCTGTATGCTGACTCTGCTGCCTGCAGCCACACAGGCCGAGAAACATCCGCATGTGAATGCTGCAATGACAGAAAGACAGCAAGTAAGCAAGCATGTGAGGCATCAAACTAAATGCACAATTCTTCTGGGCCGATCTGGATTTGAGATATATGACAGCAGCCTGAATATTAAGTTTAAACCCGATTTTTACATCTTCTGAAGAAAGGGAGAGTGGTATCAAACCCCTAGTAGTGAAAGCGTGTTTTGTGCCATAATTAGTGGTGTTAGCTAAGGCAAGCTCACTGATAACATCACAATGTTCTCACAGTAATATACACATTTATACAACCCCTAACAGCAGTCTCTTATCTGACCATTTATACAGATAAGCTCACCTGTCTCTGCACCTCAGCTAGATTATATGGCAGGACTCCTTCCTCCAGTGGTGCTATCCTCTCGATATCAGCCAGGTTTAATCGTCTACACATCATAACATAAACAAACACATGATCAGCTGATAATGCTGCTTATATTATGTGTGGATGAACTTGTTTTTTGTTGTTGTTGTTTTTTTTTAAAAAGGAGAGTACCCTGTTTGGGAGTGCAGTCCTGATAGCTGGAACAGGATGTCGATTTCCATAGGGGTAATCTGACCAAACTTATTTGCAACATGAACAAACTCCTCTACAGATGAAGAAAATGTTAGATAATACTTAAAAACTTTATTCTGATGTGCAGATGAACAGAAATGTATATGACAGACGGCACGCACCTTTAGTGACGAGCGTATCCTTGCGAGACCCAGCCAGAGTGCTGTAGATTTTACGGATCAGTTCCATGTTGTTCAGGAGAGAGTTGAAGGCATTGAAGTAGGAGAAGCTCACCATGTGAGAGGTGCCGCCACCGGCTGCCTAAGAGGACACATACACTTAAACCGTTCACAGTAACTTCACAACAAACATCTCACCAGATGGAAAAGAGCACTGCACACTTACAGACACAAGGTTTTCCTCCACAAAAGGTGTGAGCATGTGGTGTCTGATGGTGGACATGATGTCACTGAAGTCCAGGGCAGAAACAGCACCACTCTTGACCTTGTCTTTCTGCGCGAACGCCTGTCTCGCGTGCTCCAGCTGCAGCTCCTATGACAACAAGCACAGACAGCACAAATTAGATTTTTGTTAAAGGATGCACTTATATAGAAATTTTGCCAAAGTTGGCATGGGCCAGTTAAATCCTGCTGGTAAAAAAATGTAAGTACACCATTCTAGGGGCCTTATTATATTACAATATTATTAGATCAACATTATTAATATTATTATTACTATATTAAAAAAGAAACATTACTAAATAAAATTACTTTAACCGAAATATAAAATATTATTTTATTGTATTATTAAATCAATGATACATTATTGTAGTAAAATATCATTCATAGTTTATTATATTAAAATTATTAATGTTACATTAAAAGATAAATATGATTCAATTTAATTGAATGATTAAAATATGAAATATTTTATATTAAACTAAAATTAATGTATCATTTTATATATTAAATAATATTTAATAATGTTATTAAATTATAGTATACTAAATATTATACAAAAAAAATAATCGTTTATTATATTGAAAAATTTAACTAAATTAAATTTATTATTACTATGAAGAAAATAATAGTATTTTATATTACAATATAATTACACCATTATTATTATTATTATTATTATTATAACTATTATTATTTAAAACTTATATTAAA